AGTGTGTTTAGTGTGTTTAGTGTGTTAGTGTGTTTGGTGTGTTAGTGTGTTTGGTGTGTTGGTGTGTTAGTGTGTTTGGTGTGTTTAGTGTGTTTGGTGTGTTAGTGTGTTGGTGTGTTGGTGTGTTAGTGTGTTTGGTGTGTTGGTGTGTTAGTGTGTTTGGTGTGTTAGTGTGTTTGGTGTGTTGGTGTGTTAGTGTGTTTGGTGTGTTGGTGTGTTAGTGTGTTTGGTGTGTTAGTGTGTTTGGTGTGTTGGTGTGTTAGTGTGTTAGTATGTTTGGTGTGTTAGTGTGTTTAGTGTGTTTGGTGTGTTGGTGTGTTAGTGTGTTTAGTGTGTTTAGTGTGTTAGTGTGTTAGTGTGTTTGGTGTGTTGGTGTGTTAGTGTGTTTGGTGTGTTGGTGTGTTAGTGTGTTAGTGTGTTTAGTGTGTTAGTGTGTTAGTGTGTTTGGTGTGTTGGTGTGTTAGTGTGTTTAGTGTGTTTAGTGTGTTAGTGTGTTAGTGTGTTTGGTGTGTTGGTGTGTTTGTGTGTTTGGTGTGTTGGTGTGTTTGGTGTGTTGGTGTGTTTGGTGTGTTTGGTGTGTTTGGTGTGTTTGGTGTGTTGGTGTGTTTGGTGTGTTGGTGTGTTGGTGTGTTGGTGTGTTTGGTGTGTTGGTGTGTTGGTGTGTTAGTGTGTTTGGTGTGTTGGTGTGTTTGGTGTGTTTGGTGTGTTGGTGTGTTGGTGTGTTAGTGTGTTTGGTGTGTTGGTGTGTTGGTGTGTTGGTGTGTTGGTGTGTTAGTGTGTTTGGTGTGTTGGTGTGTTGGTGTGTTTGGTGTGTTAGTGTGTTTGGTGTGTTGGTGTGTTGGTGTGTTTGGTGTGTTTGGTGTGTTGGTGTGTTAGTGTGTTTGGTGTGTTGGTGTGTTTGGTGTGTTTGGTGTGTTGGTGTGTTGGTGTGTTAGTGTGTTTGGTGTGTTGGTGTGTTGGTGTGTTGGTGTGTTGGTGTGTTAGTGTGTTTGGTGTGTTGGTGTGTTGGTGTGTTTGGTGTGTTAGTGTGTTTGGTGTGTTGGTGTGTTGGTGTGTTGGTGTGTTTGGTGTGTTTGGTGTGTTGGTGTGTTAGTGTGTTTGGTGTGTTGGTGTGTTTGGTGTGTTGGTGTGTTGGTGTGTTAGTGTGTTTGGTGTGTTGGTGTGTTTGGTGTGTTTGGTGTGTTGGTGTGTTAGTGTGTTAGTGTGTTTGGTGTGTTAGTGTGTTTGGTGTGTTGGTGTGTTAGTGTGTTTGGTGTGTTGGTGTGTTGGTGTGTTAGTGTGTTAGTGTGTTTGGTGTGTTGGTGTGTTAGTGTGTTTGGTGTGTTTGGTGTGTTAGTGTGTTTGGTGTGTTTGGTGTGTTGGTGTGTTGGTGTGTTAGTGTGTTGGTGTGTTGGTGTGTTTGGTGTGTTTGGTGTGTTGGTGTGTTAGTGTGTTTGGTGTGTTAGTGTGTTTGGTGTGTTGGTGTGTTAGTGTGTTTGGTGTGTTGGTGTGTTTGGTGTGTTGGTGTGTTGGTGTGTTGGTGTGTTAGTGTGTTTGGTGTGTTAGTGTGTTTGGTGTGTTGGTGTGTTGGTGTGTTAGTGTGTTTGGTGTGTTAGTGTGTTTGGTGTGTTGGTGTGTTAGTGTGTTTGGTGTGTTTGGTGTGTTAGTGTGTTTGGTGTGTTAGTGTGTTTGGTGTGTTGGTGTGTTAGTGTGTTGGTGTGATGACACAGTTGCTCAGCGCAGCGTTAAAGAACACACACACACACACACACACACACACACACACACACACACTGATGTTTCTCTGGAATGTGACTCTGAATCATAATTTATTTTTAACTCTTGCAGCAGTAATCATCTTTATTTGTGTTTGCTGACCGATGACTGTGTTTCCTCTTGAACCTCTCACCTCCTTTGTTTTCTGGACATTTCTAAAGCCAGTGTGACGTTCGCTCATAGAGGGGCGAGGCCTGCGACTGTTCAGAGACTCATCCTGGCTGTGTGCAGATGGTCAGATCTGTTGAGAGCCAGTGTGACTCATTCAGGATTCAGTGAAGCCAAAAAGCAAAAGAAACACAACTCGTCCGCTTCAGTCGCTGCCAGCTCAGGCTGGAAACGCTCCAGAGCTGCGTTCATGAACACTCTGTGAATCTGCAGCTTCTGGACGCCGTGTACAAGCCAATCAGCCACACCCAACAGATTTGATTTAAACATGTTGACTTTGTATCAGAGTGACTCTGTCTCTTTAAAATCACCTGATGTACTCTGTCTCTTTAAAATCACCTGATGTACGCTGTCTCTTTAAAATCACCTGACGTACGCTGTCTCTTTAAAATCACCTGATGTACTCTGTCTCTTTAAAATCACCTGACGTACGCTGTCTCTTTAAAATCACATGACGTACTCTGTCTCTTTAAAATCACCTGATGTACTCTGTCTCTTTAAAATCACCTGACGTACTCTGTCTCTTTAAAATCACCTGATGTACTCTGTCTCTTTAAAATCACCTGATGTACTCTTTTAACGGCTCCTGCAGGAGACTCAAGAGTCTCTATAACCCTTTTTTATTACCTGAAGGTCTTAAAACCTCTGCTGCCTGGCTAACACACATTCATAGAAGAGCTGATTGATGTGTTTGTCCTTATAAATGAATAATATAATAATATTTGTAGATACATGTTCTGCCTCTCAGGGCTGTATGCAGCGACAAAGGAGGAGCTGGAGGCGATACAGTGGGTAGAAGAAGAGTAGCACATGCAATGTCACAGCGGAAGATCCAACATAATCATATTTACAGTCAGAGATCTAGGATGGACTGTAATATGACCTCTGCTCCTCCTCTGAGCGTGTCTGCAGAGCTTCATGGAGCTCCTTCACACACACCTCTGCTCCTTTGTCTGTTCAGATTCTTTTCTGATGTATTTCAGTGTTTTTAATGCACCGCTGCTCCGAGGTGTGTGATGGTTTTGATGGTTAATAACTAAGGACAGATCACTTAGAGTCTGTTACCTTCTGTTTGTTGGATGTGATGCAGTTTGATTGTTCACACGTTGTGTTATTGATCAACGAGAGTCTAAGTGAAACACCCTGATGGTTAAAAAAGTGAAAGGATTAAATCACATTTGAGTCCCTTTGTTGTTCAGTTCAAAGGACGTCAGCAGAAACGTGTGTGTGTGTGTGTGTGTGTGTGTGTGTGTATTGTGTGGACTGTGGGGGAGGGACGGCCTGTTGTGTGATCAGTATTGATCTCTGAGAGCTTGTGCTGCAGGCCTAATGTGTCTGTGTTACATATGTGATGTGTGTGTGTGTGTGTGTGTGTGTGTGTGTGTGTGTGTTAATGTGTGTGTGTCTCACGTGCACATCTGTGTGTGTGTGTGTGTTAATGTGTGTGTGTGTCTCTCGTGAACGTCTCTGTGTGTGTAGACGAGCAGCTACACACGGTGTTGGACGATCAGGTCTCCCTGCAGAGTGTTTTCTGATCACAAAGATGTGTTTGTGTGTTTGTCTGATAATAAATGTGCGTCTCTCCTGCAGCAGCTGATTATCAGTCCAACAGGTCACATGACCACCAAGGGTCAAGGGCAGCGGCAGTTCGGGGCGCAGCAGCGTGAAATTACATGACATACTAACAACAATCATGTCAGCCAATGAGAACACACGGTTAACTTCACAGAACAATCGATTAGCAACCGCTGCATGATAACGCGTGCTCACTGAGGCTGCATCGTTCTTCTTCTCTGGTTTCACAGCTCACTCATGCTCCTGTCTCGTTAGCTCAGGATGTATGAGGTAGAGCTGCTTATGGTCAGATGATAAGTCCCCGACTCAGGTATGTTCAGTTTCCAGAGAGAGAAAGCATCCTGTTGATCAATTCATGAGTTTGTTTTAATGAATTTAGATTCAACTAAATAAGAGTTATTGATTTATATTATATCTAAGTGTTCTTATGTGCTCACACACACACACACACACACACACACACACACACACACACACACACACACACACACACACACACACACACACACACACACACACACTGTCACAGCTTGTCAGTATGGCGTTGTATTGTGGGAAAGTGCTGCCCTCTTGTGTTACATTTGAGTATTGCAGCACTGAGACCCAAACAAATCCAAACATATATCAGTCATAAGGAGGACAAAGTAATGTTTAAAGATGGATTATATCTGTGCTTGTTTAGTTCTCCTTAAAGGGATTCATGGACCAAAGAAGAACTTCAGCTTGATGTTAAAAACCCGAGGAGCACTGATAGCCTAGTGGAGATGTTGTGCACCCCGTAATAAAAGTAAATCTTATTCACCTTTTGGAATAGCGCCGCACTCATCAATGTCACTTCCTCCTCATCAACCAATCAAAATCAATTTGGGGTGGGACTTCTGATTTCAGCTTTGTCACCAACAATGCTGGAGGGGAAACTTATGTGACTCGTCTTTTCGAGGGAACTCGTCTTTTCGATCGAACTCATCTTTTCGAGGGAACTTTTTTCATTTGGGCACGAGTTATACAGAGGAATCAGTAGTTTTAGTACGAGAGATGGTCCTCATTGCAGCGGCCGTGGGTTTGAATCCCACTTCGGCCCTTTGCTGCGCCTCATCTCCCGCTCTCTCTCCTCCCAATGTTTCAATGTTTTTTCAACCAGTCCAGTTCCCTTTGAATCAAGCTTCAGGTTTACCATGACCTGGATGACTGAGAACCTGCACTGACATCCCAACGTTTCCCGTCTCTCCTCAGCTGTCCTAAACATAACGTTAAAAATGATTAAGATGTTTATTAAATAAGGTTTAAAACCTTTTGTTTGAGATTATATTTTAGCAGTTTTTTGTTGTGCTCACCTGCAGACTCAAATGACCTCATTTCATGTTTAACTGTTAAACGTTCAGATCTTTTCTGGAGCAGTTTGATGATTCTCTCTCTGATCCTCAGCCTTCACTGTCTGATCTCATGTTTGTCTCATCGATGTAAATAAAGTAAATAAAGTGAAGTTTCCCTCTTGATTGCAGGTCATGGACACTCTGTCCAAACTGTCCCACACAGCCACAGCCCAGCAGACGGGAATCAGGTACGTCCAGTCCAAAGGAGACGACAGAGCAGAATTTAAAGATCTGGAAGTTTATTTCAAACCAACTTATAAAACATCAACATGAGATCAAATATGACGTGTGTGTGTGTGTGTGTGTGTGTGTGTGTGTGTGTGTGTGTGTGTGTGTGTGTGTGTGTGTGTGTGTGTGTGTGTGTGTGTGTGTGTGTGTGTGTGTGTGTGTGTGTGTGTGTGTGTTTGTTTTTCAGGCCGTTCCCGTCGGAGGAGAGTGTTGAAGATGAAGACATCTATAACCACTTGGAGGACCTCATCGAGTACGTCTGCTCACACATGCTCACTTTAAACGCAGCTTCAGTAACAAGGAGCACGCCACAGTGATATGCATTTTATATATTTAATGATAGATCACATGAAGGAGGAGACAGAGGAATGAGTGTGATGGCAGAGGGAGACTCAGGATGGGGGTTCTGTTTCAGAGCACTGACCACGACCCAGACTGAGCAGAGAATTAGACGAACGAGATGAAGGGATGAGGAAGGAGGGAGGATGGATGAGAGGAAGGGAAGGAGAGAGGAGGATGGATGAGAGGAAGGGAGGATGATGGATGAGAGGAAGGGGTCCCACTCCCGACCCTAAGTTAATATATGAACTTCATTAGCTTTCACAGAGTGTTTCTCTCGTGTGGGTGGAAACATTTAGTCCCTCGCTCAATCACTGAATCAGGACATAAAACATCTCCAGATGTCTCTTTCTCCCTCCCTCTGACTCTCTCTCTGAATATCTCTCTCTCTCTCTCTCTCTCTCTCTCTTTGACTCTCTCTCTCTCTTTTTCTCTTTTTCTCTCTCCCTCTCTGACTCTCTCTCTCTCTCCCTGTCTCTCTCTCCACCCCCCCTCTCTCTTTCCACTGTCCCCAAAAAGCCCAAAGTAAATCTTAAAAAAAAGAGAGACCTGTAGGGGTAGAGTAAAGTGTAGAGCTGTGGTGTCGTTGTGGTAGTGTCATTAAAGTCATTAAAGTGTTTCTCTGTGTGCTGCAGTGAGAAGAGCGTGGAGGATGAGGAGGATCTGTACGACTGTGTGTACGATGATGAAGAAGGAGGAGAGATCTATGAGGACCTGATGAAGACTGAAGCTCTCCCTCCTCCGGTGGGTCATCTCATCCTTCACCACACTCACCTCTTTTTATTTATCTCATTCGTGCACACAAAAAAAACAACAACAATGACATCATCATCATATTCATAGTATGGATGACCAAACACATGAGTTAGCATTAGCTTAGCATAACCCCTGGAGGACGTCCGTCCTCTGTGTTAAAGCGACAGGATCTAAATCTTTCTAACAAACACCTTAATCTCACCTGGGTTCAGATTGAAGTATAAAACGATAACGTGTGTGTGTGTGTGTGTGTGTGTGTGTGTGTGTGTGTGCGTGTGTGTACAGGCCTTTCAGAAGCAGGCAGAGACCGACATCAGGAGCTGCTGTTTAACGGAGCTTAAACAGACGGAGGAGAAATACACGGAGACTCTAGAGTCAATAGAGAAGGTACGCACACGCACACGCACCCTACCGGGACTTGAACCAGCAACATTCTGGTGCCCACAGACTGTCCCTACAGACTGATCTAATCGTGTCATCTCTAGTTTGATGTAAAGATTTGGCTCATTGAGATTAAGTTCCATTAAACTTATTTCAGCTTCTCTGAATACAGAATATGAAATTCATTCCTCACCTGTCCCCCCTCCTCCTCACCTGTCCCCCCTCCTCATCACCTGTCCCCCCTCCTCATCACCTGTCCCCCTCCTCCTCACCTGTCCCCCCTCCTCATCACCTGTCCCCCCTCCTCATCACCTGTCCCCCCTCCTCATCACCTGTCCCCCCTCCTCTGTCCCCCCTCCTCCTCACCTGTCCCCCCTCCTCTGTCCCCCTCCTCATCACCTGTCCCCCTCCTCATCACCTGTCCCCCTCCTCTGTCCCCCCTCCTCCTCACCTGTCCCCTCCTCATCACCTGTCCCCCGTCTTCATCACCTGTCCCCCCTCCTCAGCTTACCTCCTCTCCACCTCTCCTTACCTGTCCCTCCCTCATCTCCCCCCCATCTTCAACTTTCCTCACTCTTCCTCCCCCCTTACCTGTCCTCTCCTCATCACCTTTCCTTTACCTTCCTCACCTCTCCATTCCTCCTTTCCTCTCCTCCTCACCTCATCGTTTTGGCTCTGGTCGGTAAAAGGTTGCGTGCAGATTTCCCAGAGGTCTGTGCGGGTTGATGACTTTGGATATAAAATGTTTGTGGACTTTTCCTCGTTCGCCCCTCTGAGACGTAGAGGTGAGACAAGAAACCATTGAAGTCTTAAACCAGATGATTGTGGCGGTGTTTCTGCTGACTGCAGCTCTTTTACACTCGGTTCTATAATATCATAACTTCTCTAAAAATGACTTTCTCACTCAGACTGCACAGGGATGAGCTGCATTCACCCCCCCCCCCCCCCTTCTATCTCTCTCTGCAGCACTTTATGACGCCCCTCACCATGTTTCTGACCCTGGCCGAGATGGAGAATATGTTTGTGAATATCCCGGTGAGTCTAGATTTAAAGATGGTAGAGCTGTTCACACAGTCCTCCAGGGACGGGAGCTTCATGCAGGAAGTCTGTCACTGTCCTCGCTCATGATGCTCATTAGCTGCATTAAAGTGCCCGTGCTGCTGTGTTCCAGGATCTGGTCAAAGTTCATAAATGTCTGCTGCTTGAGATCCGGGAGTCGGTGCTCAGCAGGAGCGCTCAGGACCTGTACCAGATCTTCATCACCTACAAAAAGAGGTACTGTGAGTCCATGTCAGCTCTGTGTCCCCCCCCCCTCCCCCCTTCCTCTTCTTCATGTGTTTCTCATCTGGTCTCTCAGGTTGTTGATTTATGGTAAATACTGCAGCCATGTGGAGACGGCCATCGCCACTCTGGACCACATCTGTAAAGACAGAGAGGACGTCCGCATGAAGCTGGAGGTGAATCTGATCCAATTGTTTAGAGTCGCAGTGACATGACAGAAGACAGAGAGCGCCCTCTGGTGTCAGCCTGAGGCTCTGCACTAACGTGATGTGTCTCCTTGTTGTCTCTGCAGGAGTGTTCAAAAAGAGCTAACTATGGGAAGTTCACTCTCAGAGACCTGCTGGTGGTCCCCATGCAGAGAGTCTTAAAGTACCCACTCCTCCTGCAGGTAACACCTCCACTAACACCTGACAATCTCCTCTTTCACAACTACAACCATTGTAATGGACAGGAACAGGTTAACATGTTGTAACGTTACACGTCATATCAAGAGAATCTAAGACCATGTTCAGAGTCATGACGTCGGGACCCACAGTGTTTTATTTTAAGATATTAGTTTATAAACCTGACAGAGGTCGTAATGAATACTTTAAATAGTTAGAGCATGTGTTGTTCAAAGCTCACAGCTTTGTTGTTCTTATTACGTAACGTGAGAGTCAACAATCTAAAGTTTAAAAAGAGCTGGTGACACAAACATCCGGTGAAACCAGAACAGCCGAGAGAAGAAGATATGCACGCACACTTCTCAACGCCACAAAAAGGTTTTTAATAGTTTCAAGAGTTTTCACCTGCAGAAGACTTGGAGTCGTAACGTTGTTGTTGCACCTCCACGCTCCAGTCACAGCGATGTGCTCAACACACCACATGCTCTTGGATGTTCCAAGGTGCAGGCAAAAAACCCCAATCTGTGGAACAGTCTACCTGTTAATATAAGAACTGCTCAGTCCATCAACAACTTCAAATCTTTGCTTAAAACTCACCTCTTTGCTCTGGCTACAATTTGAGCTTGACATTTTTAAATGTTATTCATGATCATATTTATTGTGTTTTTATTGTGCTTCATTCTATATGTTATTGTACTTGTTGTTTTTACATCGTGTTTTTGTACAGCACTTTGGTCAATCTAGGTTGTTTTAAATGTGCTATAGAAATAAAGATAGATTGATTGATTGACGACACGGGGCGAGTTCAGTCTGTCCGGGCTGATACCTGTCTGCATCATGTTCTTTAAAATGAACTTAAATAGAAACCAGACGAGCTGCAGTGAAACCTTGCATGAGCAGAAGGTCGTAAAGATTTAAGAGAAAGAGAGAGAGAGAGATAGAGAGACAGAAACAGAGAGGGGGGGGAACATCGTGCAGGAAAGGAGCCACAGGCCGGACTCGAACCTTCTAGGACTACAGCCTCTGTTCATAGAGCGTGCACACTAACCGCTAATGGCGCTACCAGTTAACTGTTCTTGATAAAAAATCAAAAGTCTCTAAAATGTTAATATCCCATCAGTCCCGTCTCCTGAACAGTACGAGCCCTGCATTGATTCTTTTCAACAATTAAACTCTGTGTTGGCTCTTTATGTTAATATTAAAATATAATATTTAATAAATACATTTTCTTTACGTTTCTCTTCAGGTTGAGTGTTTTTTAAAAAGCTTTTAAGTCCAAAGGTCCAACTCACACTGAGGACGTATGAAAATGTTTGTGACTATATCAGACTATGAGCAGTACCACTCTGTGCCACTAGATGCTGCTGCTGCTCACATTCCCCTCTCTGCTCTCGGTCCTGTCTGACTCTCTCTGTCTGAAACCTCGAGCCATTAATCCCAGAAAAACAATATTTCAACTTTTAGTCTCCTCATTCTTTTCTTAAAACATAACTACAGAAAAACAAAGAGAGAGGAAACACCTGAGAGAGTTTAGAAATGCATCAGAGCTAGACCCGGGCTGCAGTGCATGCTGGGACTTGTTAAAGGCTTTTAAAGACGTTTAAAGATGTTCATTTAGTAAATGTGACCTTTGATCCCTGCAGAGCAGCTGCAGTGAATAAAGCGTCCTCTGGTTTCTCGCCTTCACGGTGACGGGATGAACATGTTCACTCATGTGATGTCACTTCCTCTTTCTGCTTCTTTCTCTCTTTTTTTTCATCGATCTTCCTCCCTTTCTTCCTCACTGAGTCTGCTCATCATTCCTCCACCGCTCAACACGAGTCACTCACAGACTCCATCATGTATGGCCCCTGCTATCAGACCCCCCCCCACACACACACACACACACACACACACACACACACACACACACACACACACACCTGCTCTGAGGTGGAGCAGGTTCAGATAAACAGACTGCTGATAATAACACCCAGGTTCAGCTTGACTGACACCGGGGATTTAAACAGTGTGCCGAGCAGACCTATATATCTCCCTTAGCAGCTCAGTGTGTGTATGTGTGTGTGTGTGTGTGTGTGTGTGTGCGTGCGTGCGTGCGTGTGTATATATAAGGGACATGCATGGTAGCCCTCCTTATCCTGCTCTGCTGAGGTCTAGATGTCTTGTTTACGCTGCAGCACTGACACAGGCAACCAATTTCAGATACACACTCCTTCACATACACACACTAACAAGATAACTACACACACACACACACACACACACACACACACACACACACAGAGGATCTGATTTATTCCAGGACAGGATTTGTCTCGCGTTCCTCTCAGCATATCTGCGGTGGCAGCTCTAGCTGCTCATGTGTGTCTGCAGCGTGATAACAATGTTCATACATTTTTACATGTTTGTTTTGTTCCAAGGCTCAGAGATAACTGCTGTTTCCGTTTACACTTCTGGATTTAAAATAAAGAAAAGGAAGCTCCTGCTTTGAGCTCTTTGTCTGCAAACAGACAGCCAAACATAATCCTCCAGAGTTTTAAAAAAGAAGTTTCTGCAGCTCTCAGTGAATGCGTCTCACCTCTCAGACGAGCTGCTCACAGAGATCAGACCTCTGACCCCTGACCTGTGCCGAGGCCGGTCTGGAGGTCAGATTAAAGGTTCTTTTTAAATAATGGAGATGAGGAATGGGGAGTTAGGGTAATCAGAATTGTTGTATGTATTCCCAACGTAACCTTTGACCCCACTGTGATGGATGTTTTGTTTCTGTGTCACAGGAGCTGCTGAAACACACTCATGACACGACAGACAAGAGCAACCTGAGGACGGCGTTGGATGCCATGAAGGTACGACATCAGTTTGTCCGTCTGATTTGATGTCCACAGTCATATCCCAGCATGCACCTGCAGTCAGCACTAGGGCTAGGGATGAAGCTAACGGTAGCTAACAGGTTCCCTCAGATGAATTGGTGCCGTTTAATTGGTCGTGGTGATATTGAACATTATTGCACATCTAATTTTTAACTCATATTGTCAGTCAGCTGACTGCAGAACCAAACGCTTACTGAGTCCTCCTTCCTCTATACTCAACTTCTCCTTAGAGCTCGTCTGTGGTTTGAAATATTCTTTATGTGAATTTTTAAACTCTGACTGATCAGTGGCGTTTGTGTTGAACTGTATTTCTACCTGAGACATGATCTCAGTCTGCTGTAGCTTTAACTCTCAGGTCGACATGTAATGGCTGAAAAGAGAATTTAAGATATTGCAGCATCGTTACAAGTGACTGCATGTGCACGGTGTTTGACTTTACCTGCTTTTATAAACTCTGCATGTTGTTGTACAGCTCAGTGGAGCCTGCAGGCAGGTCGAGGTGTAGCACACGGGGGGAAAGTGAAATAACATGCTTCTTTCTGTGCTGGGGGGGTTGGTTTCATTTTCAAAGAGAGTTTCATATATTTCTCTTCCTTGTGTGCAGGACTTGGCTCAGTACGTAAACGAGGTGAAGAGAGACAACGAGACTTTACGGGAAATAGATCAGTACCAGAAATCCATCGAGAACCTGGTGAGTCACCTGTTTGTTGTTTTTCTACCCGATGACGAAGCATTTCTCCACCTCTCCGTTCTTTGGAAACGTTTCACAAAACGTCCTTATTTTCTGCAGAATCAGCCACTGAGCACGTACGGCAGACCCAAAGGTGACGGGGAGGTACGCGTGGCCTCGGTGGACAAACGGGCCAAACAGGACAGGTGAGGTGTCTGAGTGATCGACAGCAGCTGAACCACAGTCAGGTTCAGTGTTTTTGGAAAAGAGCCAGAGTGTGTGTAACTGTACGACTAAGTAAAGCAGTGTGTCGTGAAGGTGAAGGTTATTCCTGTCTTAGTGCTCGTCTGAGCGTCAGCTGCGTGAGAGAATCCATCTCTGTAGAGACGTCACTGTAACGTCTCTGACTGGTTCAGATAGAACTCTGAGGCTGATGTGATCCATGTGACAAGAGGTCCTATCACGTGTTCTGGTCTGTTTGAGGGCTGCTTGATCAGGATTCATTTGATTGATCCTGAGATCACCATTATAAGAAAGTCTGAAGTCTGTCTATAAACCCCTCTATTTCCGCCCTGCTGAGAACAGGCTGTTTCTGTGTCTGTACCTTTAAATATGTAAATGAGCTGTGTCTGACCACGCCCCCTCTCTGTAAGGGCTTGGGTGTCTGATCATATATAATCAATATACTGAACATATGATGCAGAAAACAAAGCTTTGTGTTATTACAAACTGCTGTCGTCATGTAGAGGATGTACAGTCCCTGCAGTTCCTGGAGTGTCCACTAGAGACTGGCTGCAGAAGCACAGGAAGTCACATACACACCCATTCTAAAATGTCTGTTTTTACAGCAGAGATTAACATGTTTACAGCCTGGTTCAAAAAAACAAATAGGTGTGATTAGCTCATGTCTCGATCGACACACACTGTACGGGGGGTGAATGTTTTGATGACTCATCAGTTTTGATTTGATGAAGGATAA